GGACTCTTAAGGAGTCTAAACAATATCAGCTTTGTTCTGCAGGAACTATTTTGTTATTATCAGCTTCGCAGGCGCAAAAAAGGTTTAAAAAGGTTTTGACGACGTGTCAGAATCTTTGCTGGTTAAAGAGGTTTGCTAAATATGGCCGGAAGCTCACTCTACCTCTAACCTCTAACTACTCGACTCAGACTAAAGCCCAAGTCTAAGTAGTCCAAGTTGATGGTTTCAAATGAGCTGATGCCATCTGAGTTGTTCCGCTCTGTTGCATTATCCCGCCCACCAAACCACTAGAGCGCTGTGATTGACATAACATGATACAGATCCGCCCAATGACCTGCTGAGGCTCCAGTGGAGTGTGGCTAGACCGCCTTGCAGAGCAAAATCATTTTGTTTTGGCTACTGTGTCCTGATCTCTAGCTTCCTGAAGTACAGCAGATAAATCACACTATATTTTAACCTAACTGTTTTTTGAATGGAAAAAACAAAAAGCAAGATGATTATATTTTTGAGCTGTTTTTTTCCATGCACACTTTCTATAATTTTTATAATCTAGACGGACATTTCTGACCTTTTAATGTTACTTTAGAGGCAAATCTTAGCTTTCATATAACATTTACCCTCATGCTTTTATTCTTCCCCGATGACTGCATTTGCTTCACAGTCATTCCATTAAAAGTACAAATAAACTTCTAAAGCTGTATTTTACCAGCAGGACTTTTCAAAGCGGTGTTCTGGAATTTAAAAACCCGACAAACTTCAGTGTGTTAATGACTTTCTGTGTTTTACCCTTCCATCCTTTGTGATGCTGCATGACTCAAAGGTCACAGAAACTTCAGCAAAGTGAGACGGTCCCTGGGAATTTGGAAAACCTTGCTCCATCCTTCACACACGGCACCTTATCCCTCTCCATGTGCCCCTTTTCTGTTTTGCTCCTTTTTCCATTGTGCAAATGGAGAAATAGGCACAAGTGCAATAAGTTTTTTTCTATTTTTACTTATTTTTTAATTATCAGCAATTCTAAAAGTAGCTTGAAATGTTACATCCTGTTTTACAGTCCTGCTTCAGTCGATCATGAATTTAAAACTTCCACCATATCATTGGTTGTTATCCTACATGTTGTTAAACTCTGACTGATGCTAAATGACGAGTTCAGATGTGGGCAGCAGAGACGATGTTGGGTGCACTGAGACCACCACCCTGTAAGATTGGGGCTATTTTTAGCCTTTTAGGGCAGCGTGTCGTGTCTCCCTGTGGATGAGATGAACCATAGAGGGATCTGAGCATCAGCTCAGGCCTTTTTCTTCCCTCTGTTCTGCTTGTGGACACTGCCCTTTGTGCAGGGGGGCTGCAGGACTCAGCCACAATAGAGCGAGGGGGAGAAATGTGGATTCAAAGAGCTATTACAGCACCTGGAGTTTGATCAGGTTGAATTAGACACGAAAAGAAAAAAATGAACTATCACAACATGTGTGTCAACAGTCTGGGATTCATTAGGAGTAACATCCTGGTTTTTAAATCAAAATCAGAATGTTTTGTTCCTCCAATACAAAGGGGATTTATTTACAATATTAGCTCAAATTATTGCTTCTTTTTCTTTAGTAAGAATTCTAGAAAAAAATGTAAAATTTTGTAATTTCTTTTAAAATTTTACTTCAATTGTACAGATCATCTCAAGACCCCAACATAATATTTCTTCACCTACTGCATGTTCTCAAATAGAGATGCACCAATGACCAATTCTCTGACCTGCTGATACAGAAGGTAGCAGAAGAACAGAACGTTCATCCATTACCTGAACCGCCGTGAGGAGCTGGTACCTAACACCAGCAGTCTGTCACACTGTAAATTTGCATGCAGAAGACCTTTGGGCTTGTGTTTTCTGTGGAAGACCCGTCCACAACGCAGATACAGAGATGGTGGTAGTTTTGTGGTTGTTAGTCAGAGGTGAGATGTCTGAATTTCAGAGAGTATTAGTCAGTGGCGGAGCCAGAACGTAGCAAATGGGTGGGCCTAGAAAAATCTGGATGGGCCTAATTAATTTCAAAGCTCATATGAGATGCGCGCCGCGTGCATGTCAAGATTACATGTTTTTAATAAAATCTCTCAAGCCACAAATAATTCTATGATAGAAGATTATATATTATATACTTGTTCCATGAATAATTGTTAAATTTCTATTTTAAGGACTGTTACCGATGCTGGACTCCCGTTTTGGGCCAAGACCTGCTCACTCCCTCGTGTGAATTTTCAGGACCTTAGACAGGTTCTAATCTCAGCCAGGCATGCTGCCATGCTCTTCTCAGCATCCTAGCTGCAGGCTGTCAGCTAAGAGCTGAAGATCCAAAAGACCGCAGCTTGCCAGAGGTCACGGCATGTTTCAAAAATCAGGATTTTTGACTGTTCTTCATACTCCAGATAGCTCAAGATGCAGCAGAAGGTAGTGCAAAACCAGAGATCAGATCAGATAATTCTCAGCAACCGCACCCTCCACCAGGGAATAATCAGCAAGCACGATCCAAGCGTGCATGCACGCACGCACACACGCACACACATCTTGACTAAGCAGCATACACCTCTGACCACACCCCCTCTCCTCTCGGCTCTCAAGGGCTCTGTCTCATTCAGGACCACGGACAGCGACGTGCCGACACAGTTCGGGATGACTCATCACCTCCGGGATTTTCCACCCGAACCCCCGGTCCAGATAACAACAACAATAAAATGAACAGAACCAAAAAATTGCTTTAGAGAACTACAGCAGACCCGGCGAGATACCCGGATGAAACGATTCGTTTCCTTTACCGGATTAATGTAAGTGCGAGGAAAAGCATCAGATAAAAGGTCCTTGTGTGTCCGCTGCGCGTCTGTCTCCCCCTCACACCCAGTCCTTTCTCAGTTTACACCACTGACAATATCAATGATGTCGTCCGCAGACTCCGGGAGATGCCCGGTTCAGCTGTGAGAAGTCCAGGCCAGGAGGATGATTCTGAGAAAAAAAAAACTCATGAACCTCACTGGGTGGCAGGGATGGCATCAGAAAGGTTTCGCTACAGTAGGTTAATAGTTGCTTAGTGTCAGTAAGCAGGTGCCAATTAGCTTTTTTATATAAAAGACCAAATCACAACTCCAACGAGCAAACTGGAAAACTTAGACATAATATGATTTAAATTAATACCAGATATAAAACTTTGTCTTTTTATTACACAGTGAAAAAAGTGCACATTCATTAAAGTAATAATTTTTTAATTGTTGTTACAACATAACTGGGGTTGCTAAGCAGTTGCTTGCCTGGCCCTGCCCCTGGTGGATGGGCACTCTGTCAAACTGGGTGGGCCTGTGCCCACCCAGGCCCACCCATAGCTCCGCCCCTGCTAACTTCTACTCCTGGAACACAAGTGCAAGAACTTTTTTTCCCAGAGAGCGACACACAAGACATACCTTTATACTTTAAATGTACTGAAAAAAATAAGTTAATTAAAAAGTTAAAGTCCTATTAGTCACAACACACTGGCGACATTCATCTCCACAGCTGACCAGTCCTCGTGGGAAGTGGTGAGCTGCAGACACGGCCACACTCGGGAACAGTTTGGTGGTTTAACCCCTAATCCAACCCCTTGAAGCTGATTATCAAGCAGGGAGGCATTGGGTCCCATTTTAAAGTATTTGGTATGACCCGACCGGGCTTTGAACCTCCCAGTACCAGGAGGGAACACACTACCACCAAATTTTGAGCACCTCTTATTTACATTAAAAGGCGTCCCTTTGAATACAAATAAATGGAGATATAGAGGCACAGCTGCTACTGTTGAATGCTGCCACCAATCCTTGGAAACCTCCACTTTGTGAAGCAGCCAGATGTTTTAAAGGAACCAGCCAGCTGTTGATCTTTTTTGATCAGACTCAGGGAGACAGCCTTCTGCAGAGGGACCTGAGGTACTAAAAGAAAACATGTAAATAAATCTAAGCAGTGTCCTTATTTTGTGTAACATCGTGTGGTTTGGAATTTAACTTTTAGGACTGAAGATTTTACATTAAAAAAAAAAAAAACCTAACTTTTACATAAAGCTGTGAACCAATTAAACAGTAAAATGATAATGTGGGAAAGAGAGCCATCAAGTTAAAAGAGATAATAATTTCCAGAAAAAGTTATTCCTCCTATTTAACTAAGTGAGAAATGAGGCAGGTTTATTATGTGAAATGGTCCAATCAGCAGCCATGATTCTTTTTATTTAAGTGTTTATTATGGGGTGGTCAAATTCACGTTTGGTTCAACTAAGACTGTGGAATAACTAACCTGGAAATAAGTAATGAGTTTTTCATGCTAATGATGATTTCTCATGCTAATGAGTGACTCTGAATGAGTGCCGCAGTCATTCAGGTGTGAGTCAATTCACCGTGGCCAGATCCGATGGAAATGAAGCGGTTTCTCCCTGCAGATGTGCTTGCTCGCCCCCACTGATGACTTTCTATTCTGAAACTTTCCTGCTCTGATTAAACAGCCCCGCCAGCAGTAACACATGCCCCAGCTTATGGCATTTAAACCCTCTCACTGGCTAAAATTTATTTTATTATTCATTGGTTTCTCTCTCTCTCTCTCTCTCTCTCTCTCTCTCTCTCTCTCTCTCTCTCTCTCTCTCTCTCTCTCTCTCTCTCTCTCTCTCTCTCTCTCTCTCATATTCATTCACCAGTGCCTTAACTCTGAGCTGCATGAGCATTTCCTCCATTTGCCCATTTATTCTGAAAATCAGCCGAGTTGAATTTTCAGCAGCTGAAACTGCACAGACATACTGAAGCAGACACTCTTTTGTGAACAAGCACTCAAACATAAGGGTGGCTTTGTACTTTTTTTTCTTTTCATTTTTGGGACTGACTGGTTCCTGAAGTCTTTAAAGTCTCTGTGCATTATTACAGTACAACCTGGACACTTATTTTAATGCACAGATGTCAGATGTCTGATGAGCTCTAACCGAGGTCTCTCCCTCCTTCTGTTTCTCTGGCAGATTTTCCATATGACCTATGACCTGGCTAGTGCAGTGGTAAGAATATTTAATTTGATAGGGATGATGCTGCTTCTGTGTCACTGGGATGGCTGTCTACAATATCTGGTGCCTCTCCTCCAAGACTTTCCCCCTGACTGCTGGGTGTCGCTAAATGGAATGGTTGTAAGTATCCCAACCTTGTTTTTGCCATTTTGCGGTAAATATATATTTGTCATTAGCTTAAGTCTGTTGGATGAAATGTCTAATCTAAGACAGGGATGTGCATTTTTTTATTAACCTTCATTTAACCAGATGAGTCGATAGAGAACTTATTCTCATTTACGACGATCTGACCAAGAGGCAGCAGCAACAGACACATAATTAGCTTTTCACCAAAAACAACAGGTAGACAAAATAAAAACAAACAAGATAAAAATAAGGTTAAAACAGTTAAATATAAAGACAAAGGACTGTTCTCATATATAAAATGTACAAGCAATCAAAACGGACTTAAAACAGTCTAAGTACTCAGAAGAACATTTATCAGAAACTATTGGTTACAATGAATTATTGAAGGCAGATAATGGGATGTAGGTAGTGAGCTTTAGGGAGTTTTGCAGCTCATTCCAGTCGATGGAAGCAGCAAACTTGAATGAGGAGCGGCCAGAGGAGGTACGAGTTTTGGGAATAACCATAGAGATTAAGTTACCTGAACATAAATTGCTCTGGTTGTTGGAAGTGACGAGTAATGAGTGAAGATATGACGGGGCTCTACAGATGAGAGTACAGATCACAATGATGAGTAGTGAAAGGGGCACCAGTGATGAAACGGACTGCTGAGTGATGAATGACATCGAGCCCTATAAATGATGTCACCGTAATCTAAGACGGGAAGGATTGTCATTTTGACCAAGGTTTGCTTTGCAGAACGAGTAAAGGATGACCTGTTGTGGTATAGAAACCCAATTCTTGACTTGATTTTAGAAAGTAATGAATTAATGTGAATGTCAAATGAAAGTGTGCTGTCAAGCCAGATACCCAAATACTTATAGGAACTGAAAAGATCTGTACCATAGTTCTAGATGTAATTCAGGGAAAAATGAAATTCTGTTTGACAGAATGTATTAGTTTTAACAGTATGGCTCAATTTTGGGTTATTTCACACCTTTAAAATAAAATCCAATCAACAGCCAGATTTCTCCTCTCACAAATGCATTTGTTAGTGGTTTGTGCTTCTATTGTGTTTATTCTAGGTTTCAAGTTTTACCCATACATGATCATGAAAGTTCATGAAAAAGTCTTAACCACAAGGTCTCTGAAAGGCTGTGTGTGTGTGTGTGTGTGTGTGTGTGTGTGTGTGTGTGTGTGTGTGTGTGTGTGTGTGTGTGTGTGTGTGTTGTGTGTGTGTGTGTGTGTGTGTTACGGGGGTAGTGTTCTCTAGGTGCAGCTGCATGCTTGTTTTGAAATGCCTTTGATGATTATATCATGCTAATAATGAGGCCACTTGTCCTCAAAAATTCTGACCAGCATCTTTGCTGGTAAATGATTCATGAATATAGAAATTCAAAAATACATGTTCTGTAGTTTAGAGTATATATTTAAAAATAAAGATGAATATAACTGAATATTCCAGTCTGTGCAGGCTGTTTAAAGCATTTGTGTTCAAGGTTTGTGAAAATTTTGTGTGAAGGAAGTCACACACTGTGTGTGTGTGTGTGTGTGTGTGTGTGTGTGTGTGTGTGTGTGTGTGTGTGTGTGTGTGTGTGTGTGTGTGTGTGTGTGTGTGCTTGCTTTAAATGCAGCTTCTTTATTCTGTATTCTAGCAGTTGGTCCAGCTGCCTGGTGATAAATACGAGTGTCCTCTTTGTGGTCCTTTTTCATCACATCATTCTGTGCAGTACGGTGCACTTTTGCTTGGATCGCTGTTGCATTTTTCCCCACGCAAACACTATACCCACTCGACGTGGGCAGAATCAGCTATTCATCATCGCAGGATGTGAGGCTGTGATCTCACTGACACACAACTTCCCTGTGTGTGTGTGTGTGTGTGTGTGTGTGTGTGTGTGTGTGTGTGTGTGTGTGTGTGTGTGTGTGTGTGTGTGTGTGTGTGTGTGTGTGTGTGCCACACCATGAACTAGTGGTTGTTTGAATCAGTAATTTACAGCTTTATAAGACTCAGGTGTGGTATAAAAGACGCCTGGAAGTCCCCAAAAATCAGTTAACAAATTTGCTCCTTTATTTATTATTCAATCACACAATATTTAGTCTGTGCACAGATATCTGTGAATCATATAAATTAAATATCAGATTTTCACCCGCTTGAAAACACAAGAAATCCGTGTTGCTGCTGCTGCTGCAGAGATGAATCACTACCTGTGGTTCAATGCCAATCAACAGTCTTTTGTCAGCATCACATGGTGCCAGCTTAGGTGAGACAGAACCACATCATTTTTAAAGGAAGTCAAAAAAGCTCTACTGCACCACATAATGAGTGTGCCAGTGGAAATGGTTGGTCCTGTAGGTGTTTAAAGCCGGAAACACACAGTTGGAACTTTAAAAAAATAGTTAAATTAAGTAGTGTGGAAAAGGCTGTAATAATTCCTAATTTCATTACATATTTTCACAAAGAAACAGGGTTTTCCTGTATTTTAGAAGTGGTTGTGGTTAATATTTCATCGGGTTTGCTTTTAGGGTTATTTAGTTAGTTTGTTACTAAAATTCTTAAGCTGCTTTATTTTCATCTGTGTGTTAGATCATTGTTGGGAGGTGTGCATGTTTATAGCATTAAAAGCAGGGATGTAAGAAAATGTCAATACACTGCAATATTGGGATATGTAGTGTTATGATACTGAATCGATATAAGAAGCGTAGCATTTTTTTTTATTTAAATCATGTATGCAAAAATGTACTGTATGCTGGTGAAGCTTCTCAGTCACCCAGGTCATGGTAATCCAATGTTTGGATTAACATTTACTGACTTTGTCGTTTTTTGTGACGCATTGCAAACTCTGCTAGTTTTACCACCTTCATTCAAACGGAACGGCTAAATCTTGCGATAACACTGAATGTGTCTAGGGAAACATCTAGCCTGAGATCATGATTTCAACTTTTTAAACCCTTCCAAAATGTAGAATCATAATACCTTTTTATTGTTAGGAAGTATGTTAGAGGGAGGCAAGCCACCTCTTATCAACATGAATGTTCTTAAAATTCACATATTTCAACCAGTCTTAATTGCAGTGATGCAAAAGGGTTGAAATCAATCTACAAAGGTTTAAAAACGAATCTCAGACAAGAGAAATAAACACAAAGGCATTCTGATCAAAGATCAAACAAAGAACTTGTCTTCATGTTTCATGTCAACTTCTTGTGGTGGAAGCATTCCCTATAATAGTAGCCTTTGCTCAAGTTAGGCGACGTTATTTCTCCTCGTCTAGTTGAAGCACGGTGTGCCCTGTTCTTGGGTGGACTGTCAGGTCTGTTCCATGCTTTTTCATGCAGTTCAGATTTAGAGATAAAATCTGACTTGTTGGATATTCCAGGTGTTCCAGAATGACCTGGGCTGTAGTGAAAACAGACAGATGGAGATAGAGTGTGTCAACACACCTTCTTGGTGTGTTCTTCTGCTCCTCCAAGAGCATTCTGTCTTTGTTCATCCCTATCCGTTTAAATTGAGGGGGTCAAACATTGCTGCTCCTCTCAGAGCAATACGATTGTGGGGAAGTGTGTACAAGCCTGCTGGGCAGAACTGTGACTGCTTGCCTGTGGAAGTCTTCTGCCTTCTCATCGCCTGCTATGTGACAAACATTTTTGTGCTTCACATGCATGCTGGCTGCTCGGAGGCAACAGACCGGAGGTGCAAATGTCAGCTCTCCTCAACGTCACCACTCTTGTTTCCCACTCTTGTCTCCACTTTGAGACCATGGGTTGCCTGAGCGAGTTCAGTACCAACTTAAACGTGTTACTCATGCAAACAGATGGAACAAACAGACACAGCTCTGTTTGCGCCAAAAGATTTTACACTGATATCGTTTTCTAAACAAATGTTGCAAATCATACTTAGTAATGGTTTCGTTCACAAAAATGCACAAAGATCCTCTTCACTAATCAAGATTTCATTGTTTATTTTTGATGAGTATAACTCTGGAATCACATTCATTTGTGTCCCTCTGCATGAGTCAGACACTTGCCCCCTTTTTTAAATGCACATCACTGTGAGGTAAACTCGTGTAAAAGGTTAATTCACTGCTCCCTGTGTGGGCCAATCACTTCCTTGGTGAAGCTGGAAGGCTTTGGGAACAACTTTGACTTAACAACCTCAATTTTCTGTTGAGTAATTTATATGTAGAAACAAAGTAGGACACCTTTACGGAGAGTCAAGACAAAAAATCTGTCACAACACGGACGACTTTGGCGAGGTCATCAAGTTTGTGTTAAGAACTCAGTGACAGGTCGTCAAAGGTTTTGACCACTTCTTTATGTTTTATGCCAGTGGTGGAAGCACGTCTCAGATCATGGATGGAGTACGTTGACAGTGTTTTGATGATATGAAGCAACATGTGCTGATGTGGTTTGGTCATCAGGAATTTGAATCACAACTTTCTACACGTGCGTCATCCATCTCTAGGATGATGCTGTTTATGTCCTGATAGAGTCCAACAGGGTCATGCCAGGATGGACCATGACACAGTGATGAGAGTACATGATAGGATTGTTGCTAAAATATTTTCTGGTGAAAGAGAGCACCTCAAGAACACAATACAACTAGAGTCTAAAGAGTCATGAAAATTACTCTGGGTTCTTAGTCGAGTGTGAAGTGGACCTTAGAGCATTGTAAAGTTTATACAAGAATGTTCAAAAAGTTTTTGAATAGTCCTAAAAAAAAGCAATCTTAGTCCCTTTATTCTTGACATTTTCAGTACCTTCCAGAATGAGCTGTTTCAGGTTTTTTTTTTTCACTTTAAACATACAGCGGTTGGCTGACCAGAAATTGCTTATTGTCCCCTGCACCCGATTTAAGATTATTGGTGGTCAGGCTTTTCAAGTCCTTGTACCCTCTCTCTGGAACCAGCTCCCGCTCACAATCAAACAGTCCCCATCACTGGCAGTCGATGGCCTCGTTCTAAAGCTTTTGCTTTCAGAATTTTTTGTTTTTAGCTTTCTTTTAACTACTTAATTTTAAT